AAAACACTGCGATTGTTGGTAAGTTATCATCTACATTTTTATATAAGGTGTTTATTACTTCCAGTAGAGCGTCGTCTGTCGATTTGCCTGTTTGAAAACCAAATTGGGACTTTGATAATAGCTGATGTTTATCTATGAACTTATTTAGTCTTACTAAAACAATTTTTTTCTATTATCTTAGATAAACAAGATATTAATGATATCGGTCTATAATTTGTCATTTCATCTTTTTCTCCACTCTTATAGATAGGTCTGACAATTGAAGTTTTAAATGCTGAAGGGAAATGTCCAATTGCTAACGATTTATTTATTATAATAATTAATGGATACGCAATATATTCAGAGATGTGTTTAATCGTTTCAGCTTTTATTTCATCTCAACCCGGTGCTTTTCTGTTTTTTAGTTCATGAATTATATTTTTTATCTCAGTAGTATTTGTGGGTGTAAAAAAGATGGAATCACAATTTACAGATTTGTTTTCTTTGTAATATATTTTCTATAGAATCTAAATAATATTCATTGTATGTTTCTTCTGAAGTCTTTTACTAAAAACTTCCTGTAGCAAACCCTTTTTTCAATAATGTATATTTATTTTAATTAAGCCCTTTGACTTTTCTTACTATTGGTTGTGTTTAATGCTTGTAAGAAACCATCTCATTTGCTTTTAAATGTAGGGTAGACAAAGCTGCAATTAATTTAATAATTGTGAATGATAATTATTGCAGAATAATATTCTAAAATCTTACGTACCCTTTAATTTAGGTTCAGTTCCTTTCTTGTGATGATTTTTGTTTGTAAAAATTGTGATTGCTCCAGGCATGCTAAAATTTCAAATTATTTCAGGGTATAAAATAAATGTGGTCCGAGTTCGGCTCGAAGGCCGTACCCTAACCCAAAATGTTTAAAGTAAACCATTCACATAATAATATTTGTTTTTATAATTCTAATAAAAAGTAATTAATTTGAAATTTTATGGAAATCAATGCTTGATTTACCAATATTATATAAACTTAAAATAGTTCAAAAATAATAATATAAACACCACTAAACAACAATAAAATCATCGCTGGAAAGGCAAAGGGGTGTAAGTCGAAAAATAACCAATTTGAATAAGGACCACCACAAATCTGTTAAAGTGGATTTTTATGATGTGACAAAGGGGATCTCTCATAAATATGTAAAATTAATAAGCACTAATATACTTACGCAATGCACTATACATCAAAAGTTTAATCACGTCTTCCTCTTTGTCTTTTCAGCGACGAAATATTAGATTTTTTAAAAAACCATAGATAAATTAATTTATCTATGCTGCGCTCCCTTCAAAGATGATACGTAACGTAGTACTCATTTATGAGCTAGTTGTGCACCATAGTCCAAAGCCAAAACTTATAAACTCACTTTCTATGTAGTTCCCGCATTTTGCGGGCGTGGCTCACTTTTTTTAAAGCTCTGTCGCAATTGCGATGATCTGGGATTCAGAGGGTTGGGAGAGATTATCTTCGAAGGAAGCGCAGTGTATAATCAAGATTAAGTTCGTTTGATCTAATAATTATACACTGCGTTCCCTTCTTCAGACGATAAGTAAACGTAGTTGTTTAAAGACAGTTGCGATTACAAGAAACGAGGCAATTTTCAGTAAACATTTATGAAAATATTTACAAGTGTAACAAAAACAAACGAAAGTTTAATCCACAACAAACTAAATTAGAATGGTTTCTGCAAAAGAGGTAGGATCCTGCCCTATAGGCCGGTTATAAAACGGCAAAACAGAAAATTCACTTGTCCAGCCTGGTGTGGACCTTATATCTAAGTTCAGTCCACTTTACCCAACGGTTTAAGATTTGAAAGGGAGAGTTGAAGACTGTTGTAATTTGTTTCTACCTGATGACTTGACCCTATCAGTTCTACAAATAATATACTCTAATTTAATAAGACTAAAGGTATGCATTCTATGCGCAGTAAATAATGCTAATAATATCACTAATTTTTCTGATAATTATATAACAGGGATTTCTTCATTGAAACACCAAGCCCTGGAAGTATTCAGTACTGTTAATGGGTCCCAAGTTAAGTCATACCTTGGTAGAGAAGGTCTTAGATCACTAACGCCTTTAAACAAACCTTTCGACCCTAAACTCCAAAGCAATGTCCAGTGACAAAATTAAAGAAAGTGCTGACCTATAGTTATTATATGACCCGTATATGTTAAACCCTCCTGGAACCGTCCTTGCAGAAATTTAAGATCTTACATATTACCTGTGAAGGAGTCTGTTCTCTCTGCCATACAAAACTTCCACCAAAGTATCAACCCCACCATATATTCTTTTAAGGTAGAGTTAAAATAGATGACAGCATAATAGTATTGGAGTTCGGGCGCTTTGGGATAAACGCCTGCCACCAGGGAAAGGTTTCTTGCCAAAGGGTGTAGAGTTATGTCGACAGATAATTAAAGTAAGGGACCAGGGTCGAATTTAATTAGTTCTGAATTCAAAATCGTCGTAAGCAAGTGCACCAAGGTTTGGTATTCCAAAAATGGTACTACTACCACGCCTGAGGCATGTTCATTTATGACAAAAGAGTAAAACTCGAAATTATTCATAATGTTCTGAATTACTGAAAGAAAAAATGCAGAAAACAATAAAAGTTATAATCTGACCAATCTAAGGTAAATGTACCAATGAAGGGATAAGGGTATTTCTTCCATGAGACATACCTCATGCACTTTTTCCAATAGACCTTTTCATCACAAATTTTATTTTATGCTCAGGCGTCAGTATAAACCATCTTTTTCGTACTGTTTTTTTTTTAACATAATAATTATATTATCTGTACGCACAGGAACAACGAAACGGGTGTTGTTATGGAGTATGTAAAAGTGACACGGTATAAATCATTCAAAGGCAATCCATATTATTTTGTAAATTATCGAAAGCCTTGGCTGCAATATCGTAAAATTTTTGTTAAATTATCAGACAAAATCCATATTAAAACATGTTCAAAATACGCAAAATGTGCATTAGGTGTGAAAAAATGTGGTCGAAGTGACAACGGCAGAGATCTCTGAACAACGGTTTATGATCGATTGATGTATGATGTCTAAAGGTACTTATATTTGTTCACTACAATTTCATGGAGAAAGTCGTCCAACAGAAAAAAATTCTTATCTGGTATTACACATTATTTTTTAATATTAAATACTACTTTGGTATAAACAGTATTATGATTAAAAATGTCATGTTGATCTTTAAAATATTAAATAACGTATTTTATAAATTATACTCGTGTTTTTGCAAGTACTAATAGTTGGTTGGCATAATTAATTAGAATGGAGTTATAATTATTATGTATTTCCATTATTTTTTTACACAGTAAAGTATATTGATACACCTAACCTCTCAATCAGGCCACTTTTTTCGTTTGTAGCAAAGCAAATGTCCAAGACACTTCAACCAACTTTTCAACTGCTCACAACTATGTGCTTTCACAGAGTCATAAAAATGTAAATCACCATCAATGATTGATTTGTCTGTAGGGATAATATTGCTTTCCCAGCCATTGTCGATCAAAACTGTACGAAACTTTTGAATTACCGCTATTTCAACATGGTGGCTGCGCTTGCGCTCATCACATGATGAAAAGGCCTATAGTATAGAATCATTTAGGTATATAAGAGTGGATTCACAGCCTTCACAATTTTGCTAAAAATATAATTGAAAAAGGATTTTCAATACTTTTGCTTGATATCTTGATATCTATATAAGTATGTCCAGTTTACCATCGTTCGTCCAATTTATTTTGTAATCTAGAACAATTATATATTTTTAACCTACCTGCATCCTTCTGTTGATAAATAAATACTATCTCGTGGTTCTTTTGCCAGAGGACTTGAAGTGGATAAACTGCATTTTCTGTCTAAATGTTCTGCTATTTACGTCGGTGATTTTCTTCATTGGGTTGCTCCCGCTGTTTAAGATTTCTTCCTTTCTGTTTGTTATTTCTTAAGTGTTTTTACCTTCTTACTTAAACAATTTTGAGCCGTTGTCCGACCTTTCCGATTATGAATAATAATTTCCTATATTTTATTAAAATTTAAAACATTTTTCGATTTGACGTGTGTACCTACATAACTTGGCACCAAAATGAAAAGTGAGCCACGCCCGCAAAATGCGGGAACTAAGTACATAGAAAGTGAGGTTATAAGTTTTGGCTTTGCGTCGGCCTAAGATGCAAATGGTCTAACTCCACGTTTTACCGAAAATGTGTTACATTGGCTACCCGTTAGTTAAAGATTCAATGCCTACCATGCCTATTTTAAATATTCGCGTCAAAAATTACATGACGGTTACATTAAGGTTAGGAAGGAAAGGTTTTTTTGCCTCTCCTGAAAAAATTATATTTTAGGAGTTAGAATATTTGCATCTTAAGCCTTGGTTTCTTTGAAACCTAAAAATAAAGTCGTGATGTCATCTGTATGTGTGAATTTGTCACTCATTGTTTTAAAATTAATAACAATATAGTCTCCGCACACGCCGACGATTCCGCTGATATCAAACTCAACAGATATCAACCGACTCTTCGCGACAAATCAGCGGCATGACGCCGTCCTGCTCAGCTAAGCGGATTCAAGAAAAACGTTCCCATTTAAATACTCTGGTTAGATAAAATCGTCAAAACGCGACGGTCGAAGGACTGTCCGCTCACCGCGACGTAGTGTTTAAAGAAACCAAGGCTTTAGGTCGCCATTTGGACTATGGTGCACAACTAGCTCATACATGAGTACCACGTTTCTTATCATCTGAGGAATGGAGCGCAGTGTATAATTATTCTGTCCCAATAGTTATGACTCTCACTTTGTATTAGGCATTTATCTGATACAAGAATACAAATCAACACATTAAAATTTTTACGATAGATTTTTAACTAAACATTGTCGAATTGTAAAGAATCTATTCCAGGTTATTTGAATATAATACAAGGAATAATTAGCTTTGTACAACTCTTTAGTAATTGTAGCAATTCACAAAATTTTGCTGAAGCAACATCTCTGTAATAAAATAACAATGGCATTTCTATCCCTATGCAGACTAAATAAGTAAAAAATAGGTTATGACACTATTCGATCACGAAGATAATGACGCCTTAATAATTCCAATTAGGCGATATATTGAAACTACTGATGCTGTACAATTACATCATAGAAACTCTTATCACATAATTTACAAAATAAACATGTGAAACAACACAAATGTTAGGTTATAAATAAAAAGCTTTATTAAATTTTAATTAGGACTCTTTGTACACTTATTTTTAATCCATAAATAAAAATAGACATTCACGTTGATCACAGACATTCACCAGATACCTATTTGTAATCTGAGCGTTTTCTTTAGGACATTTGAACTATAAATTGGCCTCCCACAATTTCAAAAAATTATCTAGGACTTCTTCGAACCACAATCTTTTTAGAGGATCTTTGAAGGCAGGTGCTAAAGTCTTCATGTGAAGTTCTAAAATTGCCTCGTTGCCTAAGAGATTGTTCAGTCTGCTGAGTAATCGCGGGTTACCTAAAAAAGAAAAGTAATCAAAATAATAAATATGAATTAAAAGTGAAATAAAAAAAATCTATGAACAGAGTTACAGGATTAAAACAAACAGGACAACAATTAAAGTGAACAGATGAAAAACGATGAAAATTATTAAAAATACCTTGAGATGTAGATAAATGATAAAAGTAAAAAAAGAATAAGTTAAAAATAAAAACTTTTCTACAATAAGAGATTTATTAGCTTAATAACTTGGTAGTGTGTATCTTAAATGATGTCAAATTTTATGAGAAAACGTTTGTCCTAACTTGCTTCGTTTCCTCGTAACGGGGTGTCAAAAGTTTACTAAAAACTAGTTTTTAATTAGGCATTCCAAACAAAATGGCTACCAGTGGGTTTTGACAGGTTATGATATGGCAACATTATGGCAACCCTGTAGGCCTGGTGATTTGACAGGGTCAATGAAATAGACAGTTATATAGATTGATCATCCATAAGCTTACGTCTTGAAGTAAAAATGTAGATAATTATTTATTCACTATATTTAAAGGCGGAAAATTGGTTTTTAAACACATTTTTGCCAAACCGATTCTGATTAATGAGCACTTGCGAGGCAATATGGCCACTCGCAAACGACCCGCTTTGAGCAACCTATATAACTATATATGTATCATTGCCACATCTAAACTGTCAGTTCCCACTTGTCAGCATTTTGACAGGTCGTTGGAATGTCTAATAACAACTAAAATGTCTTTTCGCCTATTTTGATAAAACTAGGTGTATTTGTTAGCAGTAACTTAGATTATGTATTATAATTCCAGCGGCGTCGCAGGGAGTGACTGATTGATATTTATTTGTCTGAACATTCCTATACCTATGATAAAACGGGGCAATGACAGTCAGTAGGCAATACTGGTCATCCTATATTTATTGTAAAACAAATTAAGAGCGGTAACATTGTCCTCAAATTCAAAGTCAAAATTATCCTTGTTATACGGTGACCAATTCACTCGAGAGCAAGTGTTTGGAGATATTACAAGGTTTTGTGGTTTTAGTAGTGTCTCATATTATAGTTTCATAGATTTCGAAAATAAGCTGTAAATACCTACTACTTTTTGTTTTTTAAATATTTACGCACGTTTTAGATAATACATATTATAAAGACTGTATGTATTCACTTAAATCACATGTTCCCAACCTTTTCTGGACCGCCGCCCCTTTTAAAAGAAAAAAAATCCAACGCCCCTCCGAAACATAAAACGTAAAAAAGTTGTGAAAAAAATTTACTTTTTACAGAAATCTAAATAAAAAACAAAGGGTAATGTTTTTTTCTACAAACGTCAGTAAAAGTATAATTTTTAACGCATGCTGTCAGTGTCTAAAATGCCATTTTATGACACCGGTGTTAAAAGTAAATCACTTTTAGCACTAGTGCTTGATAATAGTCGGCTATTTTTGTTGAATCTAAATATTTTAATATCAATTTGATGAGACATAATTTTTTGCAATTAATCAATCGATTACTAATGTCAAAATTATGTAGAATCAAATTGTAAAATGTTCGAGAAATTTAGCAACAACAAAAATAGCAGATTATTAATCAAGATCGTGTTATATTTGGGACGACTACTTCTCTAGACCAAATATTGACTATTTCTCTAGAGAAATAGTTGCTGATATTTGGTCTAGTCTAGGAAGTCATTGAAATATCTATTTACGAGGACTTTCAATCAACACCATCGTATTCCCAGCCAGAGTATTTCAAAAGGGAGGGATGACCTCCTATGAATAATAGGTATAATAGTATCTATTACCCACATAACATCAATGTTCTATGAATATACTAAGAACGTTCTGTTTATGTTCTTTTTAGTATGTCCTTTCTAGAATATTCTTAGAACATACCTAGTATATGCTTTGAAAGTATATTCTAGAAAGTATATACTAAGTACGTGCCTTAAAATTATATTCCAAAAAGTATATACTGAGCACGTGCTATAACAAGACATTCTTAGAAGATATTAAAAGTCATATACCCAGCATGGGTCTCATATTCTGAGAATGTTCTAAATGCTTTCAGGTAAAAATTAACACCAAATACATGTAAACACACGTTTATATACATATCTATATGAATTTTTCCCAGATGCCGATCTAATAATTCGCTAGCAAACGCACTAATGTTAAGTGTTTAGGCCAAAAAACCTACACAACCTTAATAGAAGAGAAGAAGAAGAATAACATAACCTACAATTCCTACAAATTTTTTTGATATCGTTTCAGTTTGTAATAGGTTAATTATTATTTAAATATGTGGAATAAAAAAATAATAAGAAGAAAAATATCCAATAATCTGAATAGATATACGAGAAGTGGCGCTTCAGTTCGGGATCATTTGTGATACTAAATCTCTACGGGTATTATCCTCGTGTTCTAGCCTTTGTTACTGTTTTCCATCCCGACAGGGGGTGGATTTCCAATGCTATGCGGACGATCTGGTTATCATAATTAGGGGAAAGTTCGAAGAGGTGATCTCCAACATCCTTCAACAAGCCCTTAATACGATCAACAGATGGTGCGAGAGGGAGCAGATGTCTGTTAACCCCCGCAAAACTGTTATTGTCCCCTTCACCAAGAGAAGAAAGCTCGACAAGCTTCGACAATCTACCTTGGCTGGGGAAACCATTCCTTTTGCGGAGGAGGTGCAATATCTGGGAATCACCCTAGATAAGAAACTCACCTGGAACCCCCAATTGGATAAACCTATTAACAGAGCCAGATTATCCCTCTGGACTCTCAGAAGAATATGTGGCCAAAGCATGGGGGATCAGTCCTCAACTGATCTATTGGATTTACCAAACAGTGGTAAAACCCATGGTTACGTATGGCTCTGTCGTCTGGTGGGACAAGGGACTCCAACGGACGGCCAGAGCAAAGCTGGCTGGAATACAGTGGCTTGCGTGCCTCGCCATAACTGGAGCAATGTCAATTACACCTACGGGAGCCATGGAGACCATGCTGGACCTAACCCCTCTCCACATTCTGCTGGAAAGGGAGACCAGAATGGTCTCCTACAGGCTCCTAAAAGTGGGTAGTCAATGTTACGAAGAACTGCGATGGGACAAGACGGAGATGATGAGTGAAATTTATAACCAACTCATCGTCGGCATGGTCTCGGACTCGCTAGTTCCCCGACAGCACATAGAAAAGCCATACAGCGTCCTCATTCTAGAGAGAGACGCATGGAGCAAAGGGGAAAAACCCTTTTCCAGGCAGACTATGCGTTGTACCACGGACGGCTCCAAAACTGAAAAAGGAGTAAGAGCGGGAGTTTTCGGCCAGAGAGCTAGAGTTGACATATCAATAAACCTAGGCTCTCTGGCCACGATCTTATAAGCAGAAATCATTGCTATAGAATTGGGAGCGAGAGAGCTGATCAATTTTCTCCCCGCAAACAAGACTATAAAGATCTTTTCAGATAGCCAGGCAGCCCTTAAGGCCGTGAGCTCAAATCGAGTTGACTCAAAGCTGGTTTGGAACTGTATAAATATCCTAGAGTGTTTCGGTGCCTGGAACAAAGTTACTTTGATCTGGGTTCCGGGACACAGTGGTGTGGAGGGCAACGAAAAAGCCGACGCACTTGCTAAAAGAGGAACCGAATCTGTGTTCATAGGACCAGAACCATTCCTGGGTATTGCAAAAAGCACTGCCAAAGGAATTATCTCAAAATGGACGGAGGGTGCAACACTCACGAACTGGAGGGCCAACCCATTCGAAGGCGTTTATAACCAACCCTTCCATGAATGCCTCTGTTCATATCCGAGAATGGAGTAGGACAGATCTACGCATTTTCACTGGACTGATGACAGGATACTGCCGTCTGGGCAACCACATGAGAAGGATAGGTCTGCAACAAACATCGGACTGTGGATTCTGCAGTGTGGAGGACGAGTCTGCAGAGCACATTTTATGTGCCTGCTCCGCTCTGGAAAGAATCAGGTTCCAGATCTTCGGATTTACATGACTGGAGCCTACCGACTTTAAAGAAGTCTCACCCAATTCAACAATGACCTTTATAAAAAGGCATGGCTTGTACGGTGAACTATAAGTTAGTCATGAGCCACAATAGACCCATCTGGGTCGCAGTGGAAGGCGATGAGATCATTCCACTCATTTTCAACCTAACCTAACCTACTGTTTACCAGTGCCATTTTAGGAACAGCACTGTTAATTAAATGATTGTCAATAAAATATTACTATATACTCCTACCTTAGCTACCAATGAATATTCTTTATTCTAAAATTTAAAACAAGGTCTATGAGTAAACTACTTCTTTGGTTATTTAAAATGTACTGTTTCGATATTTTTAAAGTTATTAATTTATTTGAGCAAATGTTTATAAGTATGATAAATTTCGGTTTTATCTACCTGATTTGAAAGAATATCAAAAAACCTTTACCAATTTATTCTTATTACATTATATTTTTTTGTTAATAAATTATAGTGCAATATGCCACCCAGATCATAGTGTTTTATTAAAAAACCTACATTGTTAATTCCACTGAATTGTTAGAACATAAGCTCGGATCATTTTATGATTACATTTACGTCAAGAAAGGAGAGAACATTGGTTTAGGTACGAAAACTGAAAAATGCAATTTTTGAGAAAAAAGTGAAAATATTTGGGGATATTTTCACATTATTAAAACTACATTTAAACTATGAACGTCGCAGCTAACAGTAAATGTACTTTCATTGTTTACAAAGCTACAATAATGAGGAGCGACTGCCTTCGTAAGTTTGACACTTAATTACCATTGGGGGAGAATTATTTGTTTCAACCTGTTACCGAAGAAGTAAAAATTGTGCGCTTAGACCTTATTATTAGTTTGCCCACGCAAACAAAAGCCTCGTAATATTTCCAATTTTCTTCATACATAGGCATCATGAATCCAATTTCCGGTTACCCTTTGACCATCACTCCAGCGATTTGTTGTTCTTCCTCTACTTCTTCGATTTGTTTGTGGTTTCCAATGTATTAATCTAAATCTCATCTATAATGATGTTTTAATATATACATACAATATGTTAACTTTTTAAACATCTCTCCAGAGAACGGTATAGAACACCAATGCTATTGACACAGCTACTGAATAGACAGAAATAGAGTACTTGCTATCCCACTACAGGTACAGGTTGAACTATGCGTCCAATTACGGCAGGAAAATAGGCGTGACGAGAGCTACGCTCTTTTTTCACTCACATCTAAATATAATTAAGCGTCTCATCTTTATTCTGCTGGGTGAGCTTGCTTAACATAATATTGTTTAACAATTTATTAGGTAAGTCAAAAATAAGAAGAAATTTAATATATGATTTTATGGCAACAATTATGCCTATGTAAGACAGATTTCTAAAGACTTATTTTAATTAATGTATTTAAAATGGTGCAAATGTAATCGTAAATTGATCTGACTATATCGCTATACAAATATGTTATAACAAATCTGCGCATATAGCTGACATATTTTACTATTACTGTATTAATACTCACCACGCACTTTCAACAAGGAAGGATACGGATTATAACTGCTATAAATTCGTATATTATCTACGGAAACAGTTACTAAAGATATCTAACTTACAGCCGGTTTCGAGAACGTTGATTAAGATTGATAAGCCTGAAAAACTTTGACATAGCTTCAGTCTTGTAAATTTTAACGAACGTTCTTTCAACTGGCTGTATAGAATACCAACTGACAGTCATCCAAATACCCAGCAAAAATGATTTTTACTTCAATAATATTTTGATAAAAACTTTCAGGCGGTCATAGTAAGAACATTTAAATACCACATAATAAAGGTAACTTTAGTACCTCTAATATTGTGTTCTAATGCGGTGGTTAATATCCTTCTATGCTATTTAATTCTAGGCTGTTTTTACTTCATGTCGAAATAGCGCAATAGTGTTAGGAGGTTGCTCTAAATTTACCCAGTCTCCTCAGATAATGTATCACAACTGTTCGATTGCGGCCAAATCTGGAACTCTTGGAAGCCATGTCAATATAAAGTGTGTACCATAAAGTTGGATCCATATGGGATTTTATTTTAAATATTACGATTGGAAAAAAACGTCGTAGGGGAATCACCTCTGCTTATTCCAAAACTTCAAATAGCACATATTGAAGTTGGCTACTGTCATAAGTTATCTGGCAAATTTTTGTTAGTGGCCAACTTTGATGGGGTAGTTTAAGTTTTTAAATAAACAAAGGTGAATACCCTACAGCATTTTTTCCAATCGTAATATTAAAATGAATTCCTATATGTATCTAACTTTATGGCACAGACTGTATTAATAATTCCAGCATGCTGAAAGTAGTCCATTGTTATTATTGCACCATAGGCGATCAATATAATATAATTCCTAGTGTTTTGACCGCGTGGATCACGTCTTTACCTTCTTTTCCTTTGCTCGACTATCATGCATGCCTAAACAATGTCGGGCCATGATAAGGTATTTATAAAAAATATAATTGAAATAAAATACATTTTCATTGGGTTTTTAGATTATTATGTCCCTTAATATGAAGTGATCAACAAAAATGTTTCTAAAGTAGGTATTAGAAAAATGTACGCATGTCGGAGCGTATAATTCTTTTTTTTTAAATGACAGCATGGATTTACTTTAGAAATATTTTATTGTGGATCATTCCTTATATTTATAATTTCTAAGCACTTACCATGTATTTTCAATAATGAAGGATATGTAAAAATGGAATAATTATATCTCAGCTTGTAAGCCGCCCAGTGGGCGACCGATTTATTACCGCTCGCCACTTTAATACTGCCCATGTGCTCTGCGTACCATGGACTGAAGTAATGGGCCAATTCTAAATCGCCTATCTGGGCTATACCCTGCCTTTTCAATCTCTCCTTCATTTGTTGGTAGTTGGTTTTGTTGAAGACGAATACCTACAAGAATGATTATTATCAATAACAAGACGCTGATGGATGGCGCCTACTTGTACAAGAGCAGACGATTATGGTGATTTGAATGAGTATTTTAAGGTGAATGAACTTCAAGAAAAATGGTCATTGTTTACATTTAGATTTGAGTATGAGGAAAAGATCGTATTTTTTAACCACTAAGGAATAATAAAAAATACATATTTTCTCTAGTATATCTTTAAACTTTACCTAGTTAAAAGGCCTTTTAAAAAGGGCGGGCGTTCTAAAATTCGATTGCCAACGATCGAGAGCCAAGTCCCGTTGCCAAAACATGCAATTGCCGATGTTAAATAATGAAAACTGAGGTAGGTAAATAATTATATCTGTTAATGTACTTTTTATAAAATATGGAAACCGTGGAGTGTCATTTTGTTGTGTTTTAATTGTTTAAAAAGTAGCCCCGTCTACATATGGAGGGTTCAGAAGCCAATCAGTGTAAGTCAGTAGGTAAATGAAACTTTAGTGTAACACAAATAAAATAAATACAGATGATTATAAGAACTTTATAACATTATTAAAAAGTCCTACAACAGGACACTTTTCTTGAAGAAATAAAAAATAACTCTGATTTAACATAAAAACTGTGACAAGTCATTTTCAGCAAACGATGACTTACACTGATTGGCTTCTGAAACCTCCATATATAGCAAAATAGAAGCTCTCTATTAGTGCCTAGTTCAAGGAACAATGTGGAATAAAAGCCAGGCAGGTAATTAACAGATAATAATATTAATTTGATAATCCTAAGTCAGTGATAATTTTTAGTACCATAAATTTAATTTTGAAAATAAAATTCTCAGCTATTATATTTATTTTTCTGACGTTCAAACCTACC